GAAATCTCTATTACTACCAGTAGCCTTAGTCTAACCCTCTATTTTCTCTTCCTGAAAATGACAGCAGCATGAATCAGCTGTACCGTATATTTCTTTCTCAAACCTGAAAAAGTTTTGCAGTTTTTGGCACAGACGTTCCTCTTAGAGGAGGTCATTAGCCTAGAAATCAAGGGACAGCAGAGCTTCCACTGAGAAGGCAAAGGAAAGACTAAAGACTAGAACTTATTCATGACAGGAGAGATCAGATCTCTTTCACCAGCATACAGGTAGCAATGCAGGTGAAAAAAATAAAAGGAGCAGCACAAATAACTCTCCAAATTTTAGGACAAGTTACTTCACCACCTTTGTTCTCATTAACTTCTAAGGCTTTATCGCATTGAAGCACTGGTATTGGCTCAGCTACCACCTGCTTTGGGAAAGGCAACAGAGATTGCCAAACTGAGCTGGGATGCAAAAAGAAACAGTTGAAATGACAGCACAGAACAGAGCTGAAAGAGACTTTTGTGTCTTCTTGTTCCGTTATGAATATGAAAAGTTTCTATTTTCTGAAGTTGCTGGACTGCTTGGAGTACTTCCCATTTGCCTCCGTCTGCACTGAGGTTACCTTCGCTTTTTACCTACTACTTCAGAACTACCTTCTCCTTGCTCAGCTCTGAGTTTTGAGAGAAGCAGCTCTTTTACTTTACAGACCCTTTCATCATTTTCTTTTTTCTTCTCTTTGTTCTGCCAGCCCATTGAGGGAACAGAAAAATGTAGACAAATAGAAAATTGTTCCACCTCAGAAGATATGAGTTGATGGATGATCTAATGGATGACCTAATGAAAAATATTCAAGTCCCTTGAATGTCCCCCTTATCTTCTTGAAGGGCAGAAAGATGTCCTTGGGACTTCCCTACTTCTGCTGCTTTGTTGGCACAAAGCACTTCTGAATAAACTTGTTTTAAGCTGTACAGTCCACAGTTCTCTGAAGTCCCTTCTGAAATCCCCACAGTTCTGAAGGTAGTAAATACAGAAGATCCACATACAGAAGATCCTCATAAGGATCATAGAATCATAGAATCGCTCAGATTGGAAAAGACCTTAAAGATCATTGAGTCCAACCACAACCTAACCATACTACCCTTACTCTTAACAACGCTCCACTAAATCATGTCCCCGAGCACCAAATCCAAGCAGTTTTTAAACACATCCAGAGACATCAGGGACATCAGGTTCAAGCAATAGGCAGCTGAATAGTTGCTGGAGCCCAAGCTTGATTTGGAAATCACTCATTCACAACCCCCCCCCCCTCCCCCCCCCCCCCCCCCCCCCCCCTCCCCCCCCCCCCCCCCCCCCACACACACACACACAATAAAATAAATAAAAGGACAAGGAGTGTCCTCAAGTGGTGCCAGGGGAGGTTCAGGTTGGATGTTAGGAAAAATTTCTTCTCCAAAAGAGTGGCCAGGCTGGCACAGGCTGTACAGGGAGGTGGTGGAGTCACTGTCCCTGGAGGTGTTCAAGAAATGTTTAGATGTGGTACTAAGGGACATGGGTTAATGGGGAAATAGTAGTGGTAGGTGGATGGTTGGACTAGATGATCTCAGAGATCTTTCCCAATCTTGGTGATTCTACGATGGAAGGAAATCTGAGTAATTCAACCCCTTCCCATTGGAGATGGAAGAAAATGTTGAAGAAAGCTGGTGGCAGAGCCCAGGCTTTAATCTCTTAATGGAAAAGCATGGACTCCAGCATGGTGGTGGAGCTATTTTAATAGTTGCATCCTGCTGCAGGAACCATTGTCTGACCGTGTTTATCAGTGTTTTAAAAAAAGATGGGGCTCAATTTTAGCTGGGCTGACGACCACCCTGATGGTCTGATGAAGGCAGCTTCGCAAAGGTATTTTGGCAGAGGGGTGAAACTGTGCCAGGATCAGTGTTTTTCCCACAAACAGTGATGTTTTAAAATAGGAAGCCTTCTAGATTCTTCTAACAGAAATATGTAAATTGGTGTGAATGACCTTTCAACAGAGGTGTGAAAGCAACAGAGGTGCGAGCTTGGCGAGGTGTGAAAGCAACAGAAGCAGCAAACAGCAGACACAGGTGGTGACAAGGGATGCTGTTTCTAACTGATCGAATTGAGAAATGAGTTATTTTGGACAAGGCTGGGACAGAGATCTGCTGGGGGAAAGTAAGTGCTCCAGTCTAACAGCAGGAAGCCATTGAGAGTGGCTTTTGTGTGTATGGGAACTGTTGAGTCATGTCCTGATGAGCACCTGGAGAAAGGACTGGGTCAGTCTGGGGGCACAGGTGAAGGCAATTCAGCTGTGTGACTGGAAGGAGCCTGGCTGCACCTCTCTTAGACCCCATTTAAGGGCTGACTGCCACGGGGGAAGGATCTCCGATTGGTGATTTCTCCTTTGTGTGTTTTCCCTGCGAGCCTAGCTCTTCAGAGGTGGGTGGGTACTTTACCTTTCCCTTTGTAGCATCTTTCTATTGCATTAGTCCATTTGTCGTTATGCCTCCTGTATCAGTATTCCACTGCATTGATCTTTTTGATTGTTACATTTTTGCCACTCCTATTAACCAACAGAGTGATAATAGCGATGACAAAAGCCCCCTTCCAACGGTGCAGAGACACATCCAGATGTGAGCTTCTAATCACCACCAAGAAAGTACCCGGAAGACGCTGGGTATCAAAATCAACTTGAAATCGCGCTTAAAATCCGTAGGGATTGCTCTTTGAGCAAGAAGCAATTTGCGCTGGCATACGACCCAGAAAGCTCTGCTGCGTAGCCGGACACAGCAGAGCCGTGGGGTGGAGCTGCCGTCCTGCTGCCTACTTCCCGCCGCGCCGTGCCCGTGCAGTGGGGCCAGCGTGAGTACCCCGCCGCTCTCGTGCAGCCGCGTGCGAGGAACGGGGGCGGCCGGGGGTGCTGGGGGGAAGGGAGGCGCTCCGCAGCGGGGTACGGAGCGGGGTTCGGGGAGGTGCGGAAGGTGAGCGCGTGATCGCAGGTGGAGCTGAGGGATGGGAATGCTCCCGCTTGCGCTTTTGAGGACCGGTATGGCGCCCCGGGTGTTGCCGAGAGCGTGGGAATAGTGATGCGTCTGTTATGCAGCTCGTGGGCTGAGCGCTGAGTAGTTGTTAAAGTTGGGTGGGAAGGGGTATTAAAAGTGTGGGGGGGACCGACAACGGTACAGCTCTGACAGAGCGGCTGTTAGTAACGTGGCTGTGGGGAAACGGGTGCAAGTGAGTAGTTGGGGTGAGTACGGCTTAAAGAAAGATTTGCTCTCTGCTTGCTCTGTCTCATGCGCTAGGATGGACGTGTGACTGAAAGGGACTTTTTGTGACCCAGAAGAGCTGTGCAGTACGTTGGTTCCTCATTGTGCATCTTGTGGTTGTGCTGGATAGGAGCCATGACATGTTAATGACTTTACCAGGTATCGATAGGTGACCGCTACTGAAAAGGTGCTTTCCTGCGGGCGCAGTATTTATTTCTGTGCTTATAAATGCTTTTATAACTTGCAGCGACAGGATCCGAGGGAATGGCATGGAGCTGTGTCAGGGGAGAGGCAGGGGGAAGGGTTTAGAGGCAGGGTCTGCACCAGAGGGCAGTGGGCATGAAACAGGCTGCCTGGGGCTATGGGCGCAGCCCCAGGATGCTGAAGTTCAAGGAGCATTTGAACGCTGCTCTCAGATATAGGATCTGATTTTTTAAGTGACTCCTGTGTGGAGCTGGGAGGTGGATTCATTGATGATACAATCCTTAGAGTTGGAAGGGACTTTTAAAAGCCATCTAGCCCCAACTGCCCTGCCATGAATTGATTGTTATGAATCTCTTCTGACTTAGGATATTCTGTGATTTTGTAAATTTTTCTCTCTGTTTTGCTGGGGGTTTTTTTTTTTGCATATTTTTAGGTATTTCTGAACATCTTAGGGAGGTGCTCTATCACATGGCAAATGTGTTGTTCATTGAGCTTGCTGCTGATGCAGTTGTCTTGTTTCTGACTTCTTGATTTTACACAACTTGATATTACCATTCAGATATTCTTACAGACCAAAACTTGATTTGTTAACACAGTGAGTTTGAAATGCAAAGGTAGGCTTGCAAAGAGCAAGTACGTTTATGATAACATAGAAATGCTTTACAGTTTCTGTTTTTTGTTTTTCTTGCATGTTACTAAAATCTGACAGAAGTTGCAACTTGTTTATGTTCTTGATAGAAGACACTCCGGAGAAGCATCAGCTAGTTTTGCAGACATTGGCAAGAAGGTGTACATGATACGTGTTGTAGAGATATTTTTTTGTGAAGTAATGTTTGTGTGACACCAGCTACAGTTCAAGGCAGATCCGCAGTTCAGTTGTATTGTGGCAGTATTACCTGATGGAAGTAGTAAGAACAAGTCAAAAACTGCCTGCTAAGAAAAGCAAGAATGCAACCTTGGTTTTGCCCCTCTCCCTCCTTAGAAATATATTCGTGTGTAGGAGGGTGCTATATGCCACGTGGGTTCCTCAGCTCGTGTAATTGAGGGTGTTAATGTATGCCGAGATCTCATGAGCGGTCCAGGGCAACTGATGTGTTATGCTCTTAGTCAAACTGCTGGGCACACTGCACAGCTCTCCTCTCAGTGCACTGCTACAACGTGCTTGGATGGATGATGTGCTAATGGATAGAACATGGTTATGTGCAGTTGTGGAGCAAAAATCATTGCTTGGGAAGATCTGAAGGGAGATGTCAACTTTCTTTTTCTGGTTACTTTCTGTCATGAGTGATTTTCTTTTTTTAATAGACCTTTCTACGCAATTACATGCAGTGAATTTTTTAGTTGCTTGTATCAGTCCTTGAGATGCAAGCACCAGGCTTTCAGAAGCATGTCCATGTTAAACATTTTGTTTTACGTGTACCAGTTCATCTGTGAGCAAATGCTAAGTGGGAGAATAAACTGCTGCTTTCAGTTCTGTCCATAAATGTGGACCTTTTGATGAACAATCCAGAAAGCTACCACCTTTATAGCTTTCGCCTGGCAATTTTTTGCACCACGACTTCAGATCTCTCTCTTCTGTGCAACAGGAGATGGAAAGCTTGTCATTCACCTCAGTTAGTTTGTTTTCCTTAAATGACAAAGCAATAGTTACCATTCACACCATTAACTGATCTATTATTGTCATACATCTCTCATGATCTTTCTCCAGGTGAAGTAGATGCTCTCTTCCAAAATGACTTGTCAAGCCCTGGTTTTGAGTCTGGTTTGTGTTGCGCTTGGAAAGGCAAAAGGTAAGTTGAATTTCGTTAAATCTGCCTACAGATGTTTGGAGAGTTGGTTTCTGACTCCTAAGCCTTCACCAGTCAGAGTAAAGAGCCAAAAGACATGAAATAAGATCACTGGCGCCATTTGACATGCATTAGACAGCTGAGGCGTAGGCAAGTGTGACATAAAGTCTGCTGGATTAGCATTTGGAAATTGGGACATGCAGCATCCCATATCTATGGCACTATTTGAGAACCTTTGTTCACTAGAGTTCAGAGCTTCCCATACTGGAACAAATTACAAATTTCTTTTGGTCTCTCTCAAATACACTGCAAACTCTGAAGCTTTGTAGTCTAGAAATTGCCTTTAGCTAGATTTACCCTTTGGTTCTCTGAGAATGGACTTGCACGTGCTTCCTTTGTGTATTCAATCTTCCCCTGGCTTTTAAGAAGTAGAAATTGTTCATGACTCCACAGAGACTGGGAAGGCATGAGTTGGTATAATAAAACTGAGGTGGGAGTATACAGGGGTGGATACAAAAACAGATATGTCTTTTATGTAGCTTGGAATGCACCATATCTGCATCTGGTGTAAATCAGTGTAACTTGATCTCTGATTCTGGGCAGAGGAAGCTCACATAGAAATATGCTTTAGCTGATGGCATTGTTAATTCTGTGGGTAATCCCAGACTTAAAACAATATCAGGCTTCTGCATGCTTGTAATATTTGCCCATTTCACTCTTTCATGTTGCTGCAGTGATTACGCAGACTGAGCAAAGAGCGGTGAAGGTGGGTGACAGCGTGACTCTCAGTTGTGCCCTGACAGAGCCCGAGGACATCGTGCAAGTGACATGGCAGAAAGACTCTGTAAAATCACAAAGTAACATAGCTACATACAGCAAGTCAGCAGGATTAAAGATTCAGAAGCCCTACCAAGACCGGATGAATTTCACCAGCCTGTTGCTCAACAACACAAGCATCACTTTCTGGAGTGTGGGAATAGATGACACAGGGTGTTACTTGTGCTTGTTTAACACCTTCCCGTTAGGCTCCTTTTCGGGACGTTCTTGCCTTGAAGTCTACGGTGAGATTCTCTGCAAGGATGTGTCTCCAGTAGAAAGAGAGGGGTTTTCTCCTCAGCGTTTACTTGAGAGTACTTAGAAACCTGAGTGGTAGGAGTATCCCTCGGTGGGGAGCGGTTTAGAAGTAGAGCTTTATTGCTGTGAGCAAGGCTTTTTTGGTGTTGTATTCAAGCCTATCACGGTGGCTTTGGTGCTGGGCTGTCCTTGTTTGCTATTTTGTGAGCAACTGCTTAAAAAAGGTGAGAAATGGAATCTTTGTAAGTCCTAAGCAGTCCTATCTGGAATGTGAGTAGTCCAACACTGCTGCAGATTCCTTTGTGTATTGGCTACACCTCCAGCACTGCGAGCTTCCCTGAGCATTAGCAGACAGGAGAACAAAAAGGGCAAAAAAAACCCTGTTTTTCTTAACAAATCATTGCCAAACCTGGACTTTCAGATAAGATGAAACTTTTAGGGTGTATCACTTCCAGGTAAGAGGGGGAGCATTGAGTCTTGGGGGTGATAGCCTAACAGCGTTGCTGTGCCGTGAGGCGGTGTGAGAATCCTGTCAGCTTTGATAATGGTTCATCTGCCACTACTATTGCTGGCCAGGTGCTCTTTGTGATGATGGATTGTCTTGTTTGTGTCTTGGAAGGTCTCAATGGATCTATCCATTACAACATTTCAGAAGGTCATCTGATAGCCACCTGTAATGCTATTGGCCTACCGGAGCCCACCATTAGCTGGAACAGTGTGTTCAATTATACATCTACACAGGAGAAGTTCACGTACGATAATGGGGTCGTGTCCATCACCAGTCAACTGAAGGTCTATGACTCTCAGAACATCAGCAAGGAGGACTTGACCTGCAGAGTAAGCAACGAAAATGAAGAAATGGAATTGCCAATAAGTATGAAAAAAAGTAGGTGACTGAGGCCCTTGTTAGCATTCCCTCAGCCTCTGCACTTTGTGTGGTTGGATAGGAGTCTGCTGGGAAAGAGAGAGAGAGAGAGAGTGAAATGACTGTGTGCCAGAGGAGGAGGAAGGGAGCCCGACTCTGCACTGTGGGTGGCTTAGATGTTGAAGTGGAAGTTTTGAAATTAATAACAAATTTTCTGTTAGCAACAATTAACCAAATGCTTCAGTTAAACTTACTACAGGTTTTGTTGATACTGCATTCACAGAACCTGTGCGTTATGTTTTAGCTTCTCTGACATTTTTGCTAAGAGACATGCTTATTGCAGTAATGATCAAGGAGGAATGGTATTCCCAGGCAGACAGGTAGGCGATCAGTTCAAGATGCTTATAGCGATGTTATAGGGCAATATTAAATGCAGCAGCGTAACTTCTGAATACTTGATAGCGCTGGTTTGATTCTTCTTCCAACATTCTGTTCTGCTGGAAAGGTTTCAGCTCCAGCTCTATGGGTGAGAAGTAGGAGCATGAAAAGCTGAAGTGCCAGCCTCAGTTCACAGAGAAGTGTTAACATAGGTGGTTTAAAATCTGTGTGTGCCCAAATCCAGAGCCTCAAAGGAAAGATCATTTTTCTATTTTGGAAATTAGAAAAATAGGAAGGGCAGATTTGGACTGTGGGTTAGTTCCCGTATTACATGCTTGAGATAAGATTGTTATATGAAAAATAATAAAGAATAGCATAGGACTGACTTCTAATCTTCTCTGAAATTTCAGAAGGAAATTAGTCCTTAATTCTGAGTGATTAATAAATTCTTTGTTGTGTCTTGAATGCAGTTATTTTGTTTTGGCTTTTTAAAAATTTGTACCTCTGAAAGCAGGAAACAGATATTGCTGTTATTCCTCACTAGAAGAGTGGGAAAGCCCAGCAATAGCTTGTTGCTTTAGTAATCTTTCATGGTTTAGAGGAGATATTCAAAAGAATAGCTCAACCTGGCTGTTTTAAGACTTGATATTTTTTGCTTGATTTGAATAGCTTTTAGTTCAGTGAGCTTTCTCACTGTTATCACTGAGCACTGAATTTGGGCTGTTATTATTTTGATTAATAACAGTCAGATCATGTGGCTGATACCTAACCAGAGAGGGGTATTTACACTAGAATGCTGTTTAGAACTTCTCACAGGCAGTAAAACACACCTGCCCTCTTTTCTGAAAGTTAGTTTATCCTTTGCAGCAATGTTATATGTCTAATAGTGAAAGAAATCTTTTATTTTACTAACAAAACCTCCGATTCTGGATGAATAAAAGAACACTTTCTAAAGTTTTAGGACGTGAAATTCTACTTGTATTCCAACTATCATATTGACATTTTCTGGAAAGCATTGGGCAGTATATTCATCTTTGAAGACAATGCATACTCTCTTCTAAGAAATTGCTGCTTGCGTATAGCTTAGCCACAGCTTTTGCAAAATCTTAATAAAGAACTGTTGTCATTGAACAGGCATTTCTCTTGGCTTTTTTTTTTTCCTCATTTTCTTGGATAAGTTAGCTTTGTTTCTTGTTTGTTTTCTGCATCTATTTATTTATTTTGTTGTTCATTGCAGAAGAGGGATTCAGGTTCTTGGGTCTGGCTATTACTGTGACTCTTTCACTTGTCATCTTGGTCCTGATTCTCATTGCACTGCGTTGGAGGAAGAAGATATGTAAGAGGAGCTGAAGTGGTGAGTTACTGTGGCATGGAAACCAATGCTTTTCATAGAGCCATTATAAGGTCTTGCTGTCAGCAGGGAAAACTGAAATTTTGCTGAGCAATTGTTATGGAGAGTGGGTGGTCGTATTGCCAGACTTTAAAGTGTGTTTACAATTTAATCAAATTTGCCTCAGTTGTATGTAATTTCAAGAGCTGCTTTTGCACTGTTACCACTGAAAACCAGTACAAGACTACAAGTTGGGGGGGGGGGGAGGATATGGGCAGAGCAAGACATACTGACTATGTTTTGCTTTCTAATGGAAGTCTTTTCAAATGTATTTCAACAATTTTCTTCGTTGTCGTAGAGGGACAATAAAGAATTGAGTGCTTGTCTGCTCAGAGAATTTTTGGCAGAACACTGAGAATCCAGCTCATGAAAAGTTTTGTGCTCTCACGGCATGGATATTTTCTAGCTGTAGCACCTTGATGCATTTTAAGACACAGTGTGGGACGATGGAAAAGTTAGCTCAAACTTGGTGTGTGAATCTGATTCCTAATGCTGAGTAAAGGAGATAGTGCTGTGCCTGTAGGTGTGATGACCTTACAGTGAATCAACTCTAGGCATCGCTACCAATAACAGGATAGCAAGGGAGAAATTACAGAAAGGGAAGAAAAGACTTCAAAAATCACATGAATTATGGTCGTTGCTAATTTTGCTTTTGCATCACGAGATCAGAATGCTGTGCTTGGCTTTAAATTCTATGAGTATGTTTAGAAATACTTTCAGGAGCCAGCAGGCATTAACTCAGTTCATTCCAGAATGTTTAGACACGTGCTTCGTGATGATAATGTGATATAAGTTAAAGAAGTGTTTCCAGGGATGTCAGACCTGTGTATTTTGAACCTGAACCTATGGTGCTTACAGTGAGAAGGGGGTAACCTAGTAATCTACTACTGCCAGGGACACACAACTTTTTTGAGAAAAAAGATAAATGAATACTTATTAGACCCCTTGTACAACTTCCTAGTTTTATATGGTGTTTGAGCTCTATATCATTCCTATAGACAATTCAGATAAGATTTTCTGACCAATCTGGAAATGAAAGGGCAAAGAGTCGTCTCTGTATTTTGGTTCTGTTTTCAAGGGTTCAGAAAGAAAAGATGGGATGGTTGTAGAAAAGGTGTATCCCCGTTTTAGAAACACCACTTCCAAGCACCAGTGAGCTTGTAATCAAGCAGACCTAGGAGGAGACACCGTGAGGCAGGGTGACCTGACAGGGGGCTGTAGTCATCCTCTAGAGTACGATCAAGGAGTGATGGGGCGTGCTATATAAGGCCAACTTGTTACATACCTGCACCTTTATGCTGTGGCTGCAGCAGGTGGCTGAAGCAGGAGTGTGAGTTGGACCAGGTTGCTTGTGTTTAGATGAAGCTGAAGTTGCTAACTTACCTTCTGCTATGATTTTGGCCCTTAGATATTAGCAGTTCCCTTTGTGGTTCCAGTGGTGATGTGTAAGGGGACCACTGCAGCAGGCAGCACGGTTAGCTTCACCTCAGGTTCCCAATGCCCTACACCACCACAGGTTCCCTACCTACACCATCTGCTGTGCATCAGAAGGGAAACTTACTTCAGCATCATTTAGCAATGGATGCAAGCTGGTTGTGTTAGGGTTTATTAACTGCAGCAAGATTTGCGATCTTCATTTGTTGGTGTTCCTTCTCATTTATGATGGGTTTGGTTAACTCTAGTGCCAAGATGTAACTTATACAGTGGAGCTGGAAGTCTTACATTCTCTGTTCTTTTCAAGTACTGTGCCTTGTTTAGAGTGTTACCACTCACAGCTACCAGGTTGTAATGAGGAAATCCATTCCGTATTCTTACCTCAGCTCTCACTTCAGACCCTTGTATGTTTTTGCACGGGCTTATTTTTTTCTTTGGTGGGCTGTGAGGTCTGTGTATGTTCCTAAAGCACAAAGATTTGTATGAAAAAAAGTGGCACCTTACAGTAAGTTTTATCCTCTGTTATCCTCAGATGGTGTTGGAATGGGGAATAGTACTTACACGCATAGTCCTGAACACACTTCTGTTAACAGTCTAGCAGAGAGCTGAAGTAGCACTGTCTGGAGGATGCCAGTGTCTGAGGCCATTCTGTGAGGCTTCAATGCTGCTTTTCATTCTGCACTAGCTAAAAAATAAAGCCTTTCCAGTTTTATTAAGATGCCCTTTTTCTTCTTTCCACTAGAACACTGACTTTTTATCTGTATGGCTGGGGACTCCATCAAAGTTTCTCCTTTCTCTTTCTGCTTCTCTGAGAGGTTTTTTTGCTTCTTTTTTTTTCTCCCTTCTCCCCATGGCAGACACTTGAGAATAGAGTGAAGAGATGAAGTTCAAATATGTCCCATCCCTCAGATGCTTGCCTTAGGTACCAGTTAGAAAGTACATATGTATTTTGGTTCTCTGCAGAAGCATCCTGAGTGAAACTTCTTCACAAAGCCTTTCATGTTTCTGAGTAAGTGACTTTTTGACAGACAATGAGCAGCTTTGTGATAAGAATCAATGCCAGAGCGTTGGAGAGCTTGCGTCTTCACCCTTGGCTAAGCACAGAAGCAAACTAGATGTGCTGTTACTCTATGAAGGGCAAAGAGCAGGATGTGGTGAATCACCTTTCTGCAGATGGAATTCTGCTCACACTAGTGGTTTGTCACTGCTACACATGTATGTTTTAAAAAAAAAAAAAACCTGCAGCTTTTCCTAACTGATTCAGCTTACTGTAGAATGAACTGTAAAGCAGTGCAGTCAACAAACCAGCTCACCGGACTGAAGCAAAATAAAGGCTCTTAGACTCAGTAAATTCCTGTGGCTCACCTACCTCATACATGTCTCAACCTGTATGCTTTCCTCAGCATCCGCTTGTTTTTCCAAGACCTGCTGGATGCTCACATTTCAGCCTGGCCAGCTGAAGCTTTACAGTCAGTTCTCAGGAGCTAGCAGTCTCTGGAGGGGATTAAATTCCATGCAAAGGGTTCTCTGGAGATTTGTGGCTTTCTGGGGCTAAGTCTGTTTCACATATGCCTGCAGATACCATCATTGTTGTTTTTTCTTTTAGCATTGGTATCTATGTAGGAAAATCTGAGCTCCATTGGGTTACAAATGCATGTTTTGCCACATACAGAGTTTTGGAAATAGTACATTTGTGTTTTAAAAGCCATAATAACAGGAGAAGAATTCTTGGAGTTTGTTATTGAAAGGTATGATGACCTAAGAGGCTGAGCAGATTAGGAGGGCCTGGAAGAATAAAAGATGAAGAGTCATAGAAGAAAAGGCTAGATGTGATTTAAAAATCTGTTCTGTAGAAAACTTTTGCATGGCAATGAGGTTCTCTGGTTTGGAAATTGAAACGCTGAAGTTTTCCTTTGTGTAAAAATCTTATGGAATTTATATTTCATACAATTATCTACTTTGTTAAGTATTATAATCCTCATTTCAAAAGTAGTACTGGTCCCCCCACTACAAGAACGACGCTGAGGTCCTGGAGTGTGTCCAGACAAGGGCAGCGAAGCTGATGAGGGGTCTGGAGCACAAGTCTGATGGGGATTAGCTGAGGGAGCTGTGATTATTCAGTCTGGAGAAAAGGAGGCTCAGGGGAGACTTTATTGGCCACTATAACAGCCCAAAAAGCGGTTGTGGTGAGGTGGGAGTTGGCCTCTTCTCCCAGGTAACAGCGACAGGACAAGAAGTTATGGCCTTAAGTTGTGCCAGGGGAGGTTCAAGCTGGATGTTAGGAAACATTTCAGGAAGAGTGGTGAGGCACTGGCCCAGGCTGCCCAGGGAGGTGGAGGTGTCACTGTTTCTGGAGATATTCAAGAACTATGCATGCAGCTCAGAGGGGCATGGTTAGGGAGGCATGGTGGTAGTGGGTTGGTGTTTGGTAATTGATTCTATGATTCTGTGGCAAACCTTTTGTGAGAATATGGCTAACAGATGTTGAAGAGATGCTTTGGCTTGAAATGCCTGGAATGTTACGTGAGCACTATAAAACAGCGGAAATATCTCTGAAGCACCAACTATAAATTACTAACCTGAATAGGAATTAAAGGTTCCTTGATTATTATTTTTTGAATTTCTGGAGTTGCTGAAAATGATACAGATTCAGCCTTGTTAAGCTGCCAATGGTATCTTTGCTGGTCAGCTATAATACATAGTTAATAAAAAATCAAATTTTGGGGGCTGAAGGTATCCCAGAAGTCTGGGAAATATGGAAGTGTTGTGCATTGGATTCCAGTTATTCAGGAAATTTTCCAGCAACAAGCACTTGTACAGACTTGCTATTTTTCTGTTGTGTTTCTGTTTACAATAAGGAGAATTATTTTTGGAGTATTCTCAAGTACTTATTTTTGGGAAGGTTGTGTGTTGGCTTAAGGTTATGCAAGTTCTCATTTAATTGGTATGACTTGTTTGTTCAGTGTGCTTTGACTCACTGCTGTGCTTTTTTTTGTAAGAGTGGCAAACCTGATAGTTACGAGCAACACGGGAAGAGGTTGGTCTTAGGAGACTTCTCTGAATAGTTTTCCTGAAGTGACAGCTGAATATCAGTCTTTCAGAGGATGCACAGCCAGTTATGCCCATGGGAATGGTCTCTGGATACTGTGGCATTCCAGGGGGGAGGTTAGTCTATGGTCACATTGGTTCCCTCTCCTGTGGCTTCACTGTGAGCAAAGGATTCTATTTGCAGCTTCATTCCTGTTCACTTCTTAACACTAAATAAAAACACAAAACAAAAACAAACCCCCAAAACCACAGCTTAAAAAAATACAACCAAAATACAACGTAACCAAGAAAACTTAAATAGCCTTAAGAGAAAAACAAAAAGGGCCAATACAAACACTCATCAGCAGAATGGTAATTTAGAGGCCATCATGTGCAGCTGCTGAGAAAGTTTCATGACATAGCTCCTGTTTGATAGTAAGTCATTTTAAAATTGTTCTGTTTACAAAAGCGCACCCAGCAGTACTTTCCAGTCTGCTCCATACAGAGAGCAGGCTCTGGATGCTCTTTGGAGCATCCCATCTTTTAATATTCTCTGCTTAAATCACTATGGGCAGGAGAGCTGATACTCTCTCTCTTTCCCATCGTGCTTTCCTGTAATGTGTTCCTTTTGCTGGAAGAGCACAGTTTTCATCCTGTCTTCCATCATGGAGAGCAGTGAGCAAGGAGACCTCTCAAAATTGTCTTGCCTCACTGGAGGAGAGGTACTTTGGCATGTGCTGCTAAAAATGGCCCTCTGTCTGCAGAGGCCTTTGCTAGGTGTGACTACCAGAGTGTCTATTCCATGCACCATATCTGCTTTTACTTCCCCATGAAATGATTTCCCAGTCCTTCCTCCTTTTATGCAAACAATAGAGCATTGTGTATAACCAGAGAATGGCCAGCAATTGAAAAGGCTGATAAATAGCATTCCTGTGAAACATCATTTGGCTGCTTGAACTTCTTGTTCTTGGGGAATCAATTTTAAATTCTGAAATGTTTTTCCTTTTTTTTTTTTTTTTAAAAACAAAAACAACAAAACAACTTTAGCAGTAGACAGTTATTGGACAAGGAGGTGGAAACCTTTCTTAGTCCTCTACACAGAAAGCAAGGATGGCAGGGCTTCTATGTTTCACGTCTCTACTAAATCTGTTAACTGTCATTTTCTAAGTAGGTTGCTATGTTGTCTTGTCTTTTGGATACATTACTTGTCACTGAAATGAGAGCAAGAGGTAGGCTAGCTATAAACCCAGCGTGTTTAAAAACTAAGTAGTTTTGCAAGTCTTTTCCATTGTGATTTTTCTAGGCGTTGTTATTATTGCTTGTGTTTAATAGAGCTGTCCTCTGATTCTTAATCACAATATGTACTTCAGATCAGTGTTTTGCAAAATCTGCAATATTGTTTGAATGGGTGTTCATAATTTTAGTTTAACAAAAAGGAAGTGTAATAATTTTACCTATTCCTTTGCAGTTGTATTTGTAGGAAATAGAAAATCATTTTTTTTCCCCAGTAATTAGTTTTATAATATGCAAATTGATTTATGCTAATCCACTTACTTTCAGAGTGATGCAAGCAAATGACTCTCAAGCCATACTTAATATGAGCCTCTCTGGTTCATCCTTTCTCAGATTTTTTCTTTGTTTTCTAGGATTGCAGAGGATTTCCATTCATCTCCTGGATTGTTACAGCCTAGCATCCTGAAGTCAACACTAAAAGCAGAGACTTGCATGACTGGAAAGTAGCAGCAGTAAAAGGAAAACACATCAGGACCAAAGCTCTGAGCTCTCTACTCAGCATCTTCATTGCTGAAAGACTGGCAGGGTGTTTGATTTCTGATCTAAAGACTACATCACGAGGAAAAGGACCAGAGGGAATGCTTAGTCCTCTCTTCTGCTGCCAGATGATATCTGCTCTGCTTATGCCGTTCCTGGTACTGCTAGTCTGCAAATGTATTTGCTTTCTTCCCATGGAAGCTGTGAGCAATCTGGAGGTCCTCTTCAGTGCGTAACTGCTCTCAGTAAAGAGCTGGAGGGATTATTTTGCTAATAGCTTTCTGCATTGTTACGCTTTGTGACTCAGCGATTCATCATTTTCTTCCTGCCGTCTTCTTTTCTTTCTTACCCAGCTAATGCAGCTCCTTGCTCTTCCTTGAAAGTGTCAACAACTGTATTTCTGAGCTACCTCTAGAAAGATCTGCTGCTGGAGGTCTCAAGCCACACCAAATCTGCCAAAATTATTGGTAAAAAGTCAGAAGGATTCCAGTCAGGTGACAGATTGAAGGCAGTAGCAGTCATGGTTGGGAAAGAAGTGTTTTCAGTAATGTATTTTATATGGCTTTCTTTCAATCCTGTTTTGATTTGTTTGTTAGTTAGTTGATTATTTAATATGTAAATAAGGAGAAGATTGAAACAAAGCTCAGTAGTGGAACTACTGTCATACCCTCCTTTATGTCTGCTTTGCTGTCATTCTCTCTGCCTTCTCATGCAGTGCTGTTAATGCCCCAGCCTGTTGCTTGCTTGCTTGTCAAAAAGCATGGACTGGCCTCCTTGATCATCCTCGTGGTCATCTGATACGCTGCTCCATCCCTTGTCTCTGTCTATTCTTGTTGTTTATATTTAAGCAAAGACAAATTGTTCTGTTGGCCAAAGGCAATTATTCCTTACATAGACTTGTGTGGGATGTTACACCCTAAGCTAACTGTGCTATGGCACTGTGGATTTAACAGGATCAATGGAAAGTTTTTACAGAAGCTGAATTTGTTGCTTTGCTATGGTTTTGATGGCAGAGGAAAGCATTGTGTTCCTCTTAGAAACTGAGACCTGACTGCTTCTGCTGCAGGTAGAATCAGAGCCTCTCCAAGTTTTTTTTGTTTTGTTTTGTTTTCCCCTCTGATTGCCAACCTGTGTCTGAAGGTCTGATCATTTCCAGGCTTGCTCCCATGTTTGCCTGTCTCACTTTCTCTCACTGCTGCAGCATGGCTCTGGGAGCATCGAGCTCCCTGCACTGCCTTGCACCTATCTGATTTGCAGGGTGTCAGCAGTTAGGAATGCCTCTGCCTCCCTGGGCCTATCATGTACCTCTGGCTGTGCCAACTTCATGGACCATGTCTCTGGCAGAATGGATGGATAAAGGGACTGCAGGGGTCCTCTATTAATTTCTCCTCTACTGACGAGCACTGACGTTTAAAGTCTTGCTCAGTCTTTGTTCTGTCTTAATATTTGTCTGTTCCTCAGGATCACTGCCAGTCTTTTGGGTTTAAGTAGTGCTTGTGCATCTGAACTGCTCCATCTCATGAGACACGTGGAGGTTAAGACTGTGCTTCCTCACACGCGTGTGGAATGGTTGGGGCTAGAAGGCTGTGGAGGGCAGCTCTGGAGGTGTCTGGCACAAACCCAAGCGCACAAGCCGGCTAAAAAGTCAACAGAGAAGTTTACCAGGAGCTAAATTCTACATTTCAGAACAGAGTTATTTGTTCTGTAGAAGTCCAGCCAGAATAATGACTTATAGAGTGGCTGCCTCTCTAGGGCCAAAAAAAAAATGTGTGTGGTTATGTCTGTGTATATCACTGACCATGAGTGTTGATGTTGATGAGCTGCTGTGCAGGTGCAGTATGAATTATTTATCTGTATAAACAACTCCAATAAATTTATTTGGTAAAAATACTTGATCCAGTTCAAACATCAACTGCTCCATAACTTTCTGCTTATAGATTTGCAATACCTGAAATGCTTCGTTTTAAATCCTAGATCTGCTGAGGTGTTGGTTGGCTCACCAGTTGGGCTGAGCTGTGCTCATGGTGTGGGGTAGGAACTAAGCAATTGGGGCTGCAGGGTTAAATGGCCTTAGGGAAACTAGACTAGCCACCCTGCACTTCACAAAAGTTAACAAATGCAGAACAGCAGCCTTCCTGAGGTAAACCCCAAGGTTGTGTATGAGATGCTTTTTTTGGCTGACAGCCCATTTCTCAGAACCTTTTGAGACATTTGCTTTTATTCTGAAGTCACAATGAATGTCATTCCTCCAGCTGTGTCCTCTCTTTGTGTGCTTTTGTCCCTGGCATGCAAAACGAAGCTACTATTCTAAGTCTTCAGTTGTGCTAACTGAAGGGACAGGAAGGAGCAGGCTGTGCTAGAGATAACAATGTCCATGTGTCACTGATGGAAACAGTAAAACCTTAGCAGGCAGAGCTTGGCTTCTAGGAAAGAGAGTTTGTGAAAAAAAAGTATTGCATTTGTTGAGAGTACTGGGCTTTTATTCTTGTTCTTGCACTGACCACCAGCCCAACATCAGGCCAGCTGCTTGAGGTGGCTGTACAACTGCATTTTGCCTGTATCCTAACATCATTTTTCACTGATCCATTTGCTTTGTAAGTGTGCTAGTAGCTGTCCTTCTCATTGTTCAACATAACAAGATGTTATGCTGAGCAGGAGGAAATGCAGGATAATTTTAGAAGCTAAGAGGATGTATGATTGTGTGTGTGTGTGTGTGTCTGGATTTCTTTTTTTAAGATAGGCTGAAGTTAGCAGGGAAGTTATGTGCATTCTTGCTCAGTGCCACTGATGAGCAGTGCTCAAAAGGGCTGTTGAGCTGAAAGATCTTAATGTGAATTTCTAACATTGTGTTTAGAGAGCCGTGTTCACTTCCTGCACCCATGTGCTGTCTCCTCTTAGGGACCTTGTGCCATTTTTTTTATTCTGAGTGAGATGTTACTATTTCCAAGGCTTTAATCTCATGCATCAGTCAAACATCAGTCTTCCGCAGATCTTTCTGTATAGGCAACCACATAATGACTCACTGGTGTGTTGGAAGAAACTCACTTTGCTGGTTTTCCAGCAGTTGGAAACTCTATAGCGTGGTGTTGGTGCTTCCTGGCACCCAGTAGCTCTGCTTGTGAGAAGGAAGCATGACCCCCTGAATGCGCTGAACCAAGGGGTAAAGAGAGCAGGCCAGTAGCCCAAACTGCTAATCAGTTTCCTTAAGGAAATGGAGGAGTTGGATTTCCTTGTTAATTGCAGTTTAGTAAATCAATGCAAAACAATGTATTTCAGTGTGGTAGTCTAATTAAAAAAAGGAAGTAGGGGTTTCCCGCTGCTGACTTACAAGGGGAGTTAAGCAGCACAGGTCACTTTCTTGCTGTGTGAAGCATCTGCCAGGCAGGTTGCAGGCAGACTGGGTGGAAGCGGAGGTGACTGTCCCCACCCTGAGCAGCTTGAGCATCCTGTCAGGACTCATGGAAAAGATGTGCTACTGTGGGCCTGTAGAGCACTGTGACCTGTGCTTTACTGGGGAGGAAAAGGGAAGCACGCACTCTCAACTATTGCACTGAAGTTAAGTTTGATTTATGTCAAGCAGCTGGGGATTTCTGCTAGCTGACTTTTACTTAGGGTGACATATACTGGCATAGTTCTGCCTTCCTTACTGGCAGCACAGAAGAAGATTAAAAAGTACAACATCCTCTCAGTATGGTTTGTTTCCTTTCTGCACTCACCAACAAAGAGCCAGTGCTCTTTGTGCCCTGCAGGCAATGCCAGGAAAATGCACCAAGCTTTGATGGATGCATTGCAGAGTATTTTCTCAGACATCTCAGAAGATATAGTGAGGAGAAATGCCTGAATGTGAGAGAAGCTTGGCATATCTTCATGGCCACCCTGAGCCATCCTATGGCTGTAGCTCACTGTGGTTTTGCAGGTAAGGGGATTAAAAATCAGTTTGGCACAAAGCTAAGGTAGCAAAAACTGATCCCTCCCACATCAAGCTTTTAAAGAAAGGAAGTGAGTGCTAAGTGAGGGAAAAGGACTGGCCTTAGCTGCTCTATTCCATGTGACGTTTGTGCTCTCGGAGTCTTCAGACTGTGCTGTGCAGGATGAATCCGTGTAAGAAACTTCAATCTAATGTTGAATTTAGGCAGAATAAAAATCCTTGTTAAGCTTGGTGCTTAAAAATCAACATGGATATGTTGTTAAGTGTTTATTTTTGTCATGCAAGCAACAGTGTGCAGAAAGGCTTCCCATCTATGGAAAAATCCCTATGTTCCCACAGGAATTGGAGCTGCTTTTCTGCCAGACAAAAATGTATTTTCCTCTGTCCTTTCCAAGACAGTGGTACTTGTCAATCTATTCAGTGCAAACCGTGGAGGGGCACAACTAGCCATAGAAAGCAGCAAGCACACCCCAGAAAGTTGTTATGCTGAATGCAGGGGAAAGAGGGTCATTTGAGAAAATCAGGGCTGAAAGTCTCAAATGGTGTAAGTAACTGACTTCACTGATGAGGGCAGAGCTCTGGTTTCTTGGGAGTACTCCTCAGGATATTTCCTGTTGTCTTTAAAGTTAAGTTTCTGCTGTGAGGTCTCTCTTCCTCAGTCTTTTTTTATTAACTGAAGTATCAGTATTTTAATAGAAGAAAGGAGATACTCCTAGAAACTGCACAATTGCCCCTTCCCTTCCCCTCATAACCTTCTAGGGAAATAAGTGGTAAATAAGAGGCATGAAATATTTGCTATTGTCTTAATCTGTTTCATGTGGATGTTATGATGATTTCTTCAACCCTACAATGATTTCTTCAACCCTTCATTTCTTCTTGGGGCCCTGGACAGCCTGGTTTAGTATTAAATGGGGAGGTTGGTGGCCCTGCATGTGGTGGGGGGGGGTTGGAGATCCATGATCATTGAAGTGCTGGCCAACAGCAACTTTGACAAGTACTCTGCCGAGTGGATTTACACCCCTCCTGGGATAGTGAAAGTGGACTTAACTCCATGCTCTTGCTTCATTTGTGTCTATCTTGTACAGAAAGGCTATTTTAATGGTGTATGTATAATCCAGTCCATTACAGAATGGATATGGGCAAGTACAGCTTTCATATGTTCATATGCTGATATGTAATTATTAATCATTCCTCCTTTGGGAGGTAGTTTTCAGCTATGTTTGGAATTGACAAGCATTTGTGCTCTTTTGAGGAAATACTGAGGTTGGAGTACTTTCTCACAGAAGAAATGCCTCTGAACAAGCACTCTTGAGAAGTGGGGTTGTTAAATGCAGCCAATGTCTCAGAACACTGTCTGTCTTCGTTCAGATGTTGTATGACTTAAACGTTTAGAAATGATTCTTCTATTCTGACATGGACATATATGGTATGTATCAGTGTATTTATTTTCAAAACAAAGCATTTATAGTCATCTTTTTACAGTATAAATAATAAGTCAAAAAGAAAATAGTGTTTCGTCTTTGCTGCCAGAAGTTTGCTTCCAAAAATAGGGTAAAAGTGAAAAATTGCAACTTTTGCCTTTCCCACTGAAATGGTGGAGGGAGCCGTCAGTGTTATTAACAAATATTTTGTGGGAAGTATTTCAAGGTTTGATAGATCTTTAGTTTGAAGTGTTCTGTAATGTTTCAGTTTACCTTTATAAACTACTATGAAAATGTTTTGTGTTAAAGGACAGCTTGCAAATAACACTAAATCAGCATTTTACATTACCACTTGGCTGCCTTGATCTGAAGGAAAGCAATTACAGTAATTAAAATGTCCAACAAACCAAATAAGCTGTGCTGAGATTTCAGGTAGGTTTTGGATTTTATGTGAATTTCTTTTTCCATTGCTATTTCCAAAGTAGCAACTATTCAGAAATGGAGTTGCTGCAGTTTCTCTTATTTGTAAGGAAGAAAAATGATCTCAAAGGACAAGCAGAGCAGAAAACAGTTTCTACTTCTCATTCTTAAGTTCAGAGCACTGGGCAATGGGTGGTAGTTCCCTCAGACTTAAAAGAGGTATTTAGCCTGCCCTCCACTGCTGAGGTGCCAGAAAGTATTGGGCTATTGACAGAGATTACAGGGAGTAGCAAGCATGATTACAGGATTAATGAAGGATTATAGGATTACAGGGAGGTGTTTAACTTTGTCAAGAGAAGCTAAAGGGGCTGATTCTTTGTGTGATTTGACAGGAGTGCAGGTCAGAGGCCAGCTGCAATTCAAGGCACTGTAGGAGAGCCTCTGTCCATGGAGACCCCACACGTGCACAGATTTGGCATGGGACCTTGGTGGGTTTTGATTTGTATATGAATTCACCTGTTTCCAGGAGAGCTGAAACTAGACATTAGTGGAGAGGATGGTCTAGCATCGTGACAGGCTGTGCAGAGAAATAGATGTCTCCTCATCCTTGGAGGTATTTAAGAGATGTGCTGATGTGGCACTAAGGGGTATGGGTTAGCAATGGGACTCAGGCTCTGGAGCATGTCCAGAGAAGGGTGATGAAGCTAGTGGATGGTCTGGAGCACAAGTCTTACGGGGAGTGAGTGAGGGAGCTGGAATTGTTCAGTCTGGAGAAGAGAAGGCTCGGGGAGACTTCATTGCTCTCTACAGTTAACCTGAAAGGAGGTTGTGGTGAGCTGGGAGTTGGCCTCTTCTCTTAGGTAAGAGTGATGGGATGAGGTAATGGCCTTAAGTAGCATCAAGGGAGGTTCAAGTTGGATATAATAAAAAGCTTTTTCTCTGAAAGTGTGGTGAGGTACTGGAACAGGCTGGTGAGTCACCATCCCTGGAGGTGCTCAAGAACCATGTCAATGAGGCACTGCAGGGCATGGTGGTGATGGGTTGATGGTTGTACTGCTTGATCTAAGTGGTCTTTTCCAGCCTTGATAATTCTATGGCTCTGTCTAATGCTGATGTTTTTGCTGATAGACCTTAAAAGAACTCTGACATGGCAGAACAGTTAATTAACTGTTGCTGCCTCTCAGTGTCCCTGCATGCTGGTTCTTCCTTCTAGTATTGATTCCAGACAAGTTGGTGTTTTTCTGCATTGCAGAAAAATGGCACAGTACCTTCTAGCACATGTAAATTTATCTTCCTGCTTCTCATCTGCACTCAGCTCCTTTTAGTGCTCTTAGTTGGGACCCTTTCCACATACTAGCTTCTAGGTTGCAGCTTTTACCTCTGGAACAGATATAGTTACTTCCAAAAAGTAGATGACTTTTTTCCTCCTTCCCAAGTGCTAACTAATCACTCCCCTTCTAATGACACATGCTACCTAAGTAAAAACAGAAAACCCTAAAAAGCAGGCCAGGAGAAATTTTGCTCCCATTGCATCCATGACATTCATTGGCTCTAGCTGAATGTTTCTGGAGATCAAACAGTGGATGTGAGCACAGTGAGGTGATGGGTGGTTCGTTTCGGCAGTGGTCACCTCCACTGCTGCATGTTTTTATGAGCACTGCATGCAGGCTTTTGCTTATAGATGGTGAAAACACATAGCTAGTAGTGGTGACTGTATTGAAAAAATAGTGTTTTGTAGCTTAGAATTTACTCTCTCAAACAGTTATTTTGCTCTTTGTATCTGTTGTAATTTCAATGGAAACAAATGAGCCTTTCTTTCAGAGCATCCTACATATGACTGAAGTAGTGTACAGCAGGAAAAATAAAAAAAAACCCTAAAAATCATGTCTCTATGCCTTAACTCTAAAAATAAACGAACAACTCATTTGTCCCATGTGAGTAGGAATTAAAACTTCCCACTGAACCTTAATCTTGAGCTTATATTTTCTTTCTGCTTCATAATCTCCACAGAACAATCTGGCAGCGATCCTTGAGCTTCTTAACTCCACATCCTGAGAAAGTTCAAACCACTTTCTTCGCACCGTGTTTTTTTCCCTTTCCAAGCAGTCGGGTAGGAAGACGTTGAGGCCCACCAAACCACAGTTTGCCTTGCTATTTATGAGCAATGCTGTTGATATAATGACCCAGCTCAGACAGGGAGGGTAAAGGCTGAACTGTTGTTTTATTTTAGCAGCAAAACTTATTCTAAATAGATGACTTCCATCCTTTGTTTCTCCTAAGGGTTTCTGGTAGCTGCCACTGATTTCCTACAGGAGGGCACTGCAGGAGGGAGGACAAGAGGTGGTAAACATGGGTGTAACTCAGTTGGACGACTGAGGTATTTCTCTTAATTTTTAACCTTCACTGCTTGAGTGTCTGAAGATTGTCACAGAAGAGCAAAATGTACCGCCTTGAGTTTTAGCTCACAAGAAACAATTAGGACAGAAGGGGAAGGAAAGCCATAATGTGCTGTTGGTGTAGGTGGGATGAGAACATACAGCAGCATTAACAGAGCAGATTCACAGATAGACACTCACTGGTTGTCTCTATCTTCTGTGTATCTTGTATCTCCCCTGTTCTTGTGTCTTAACTTTTCTCACTACCCACATACTCATTCTTCTTTTTTTTCCTTTCCACCTCTCTTTTCATTGCTTTTCTGGATGTTCACTTTCCATTGCCTTTGTACCATCATGCTCAAAGGTTAGACATGGTGCAGTGGAAAGAAAAGCACATTCTGGCTCCAAATTAAATGTGTTGTGGCAGTACTGCTGGGATGCCTATGGACCTTTATGGACAGATTTCATACAGCTGTGACTGTGAATGGAAAGCAGTGCTTTGAACTGAAGAGGGGTATAGAGGGTCAAAGGAAGGCCTCATGCTGTGTTTTCATCAATAGACAAATAGGCTGTGAAGGTGTGTCCTGTAAACGTCATTGCTTTTGTGAACTTATCAGCTCACCCTTTAAATGAGGACTTGGGGGGGGGGGGGAAGAGTGGGTCAGAAAATACTTTTACAATTTGAAAACCCCCCAAAATCAAGGGCGTCCTATTTTTCCAGTGCCTATTACTGTAAACATGACAACTATAAAGGAAACAACTGCAGTCTGTACATCCTGATATTTCACAGACAGTTTTATGAGTGACTCAAATTAAAAAGCGTGGCATTGCTTATTCATTCCACTGTCAATATCTTAAAGTATTCTACACTCAGTTCTGAGATTAATGTGATAAGCTGTGACTCTTCCTGTTATTTCTTCCAGTGCTTTTTTCTCTCTTTTAATCTGAAATACATCTGTTTTGTCTTATTTTTGTACTGAGAGCCGTTTAAAGGCTTTGAAGATAAAGGAATATTTTGCACCAGCACTCATTGGAGTTCAGGAGTATTCTGGAAAATAATTATTTATAGAAAACCAACTGATTTTTTTTTTCAGAAAGATCAAAGTGCTTTCAGAGACCTGCAATAGTATCGCATTCTTTCGATTACGTGAGTGCAGCTGTGCTGAAGACCTGGAGCAGCAGTGATGGCGCATGCACTGCAGCTACTCCCTTCCCTATTCTCATAGGAAGCTCCTGTATTGAGGTAGGCAGAGGTATTAGGTTTTCCAAAAGTTTCTTGACTTCTGACATCATTATCATCTATAGGGAGGGAGAGCTGCAAAATGGAGAGGATGGGTTACCTGGAGTCTGTATTGCAGCAGCCTTCTGCTGCCAGCTAAGCCTGAGTAGTCACTCACCTCAGTGGTGCCATCTGTTCTGCATTATGCGGTACAAAATGCAAGGTGTTCTGCCCTGCCAGCCTGAAGGAAGTTCTTAGTTCATAATAGTTGGTGATAATACCAGTCCTTAAGTTTTGTGCTTCTGTGCACCAAGCCAGATTTTTCAGTTTTGTCCAGGAAGTTATTCAACAAGTTGCTCTCAAAGGTAGTCAACATCTAATCTGGGAGTTGTGCCTCCAGAAATATCAGGCTGATATTATCCAAGCGATATTTCAGGAAAGAATTTCAAACTGATGGATTACAGGAAACTGCATAGAGTGTTAGCATTTTACTGGATCATAAGGAGATGACAGATCAATGAGTCCCTGTTTTGTCAAAGTTACAGACACACAACTGTAGCTAAAAGTAGCTGCTCTACTGTTTTTTTGTCATCAGATTGGTTTAGATAAGATGTAAACTTGCTGCATATTACTCAGAAGACCATCAGCTGCCTGCTTCCAGGAATAGTGCCCCACTGATAGTGGGACTGGCCCATGTTAGGAGTCCTTCATACCCTCCATAGAGCCTGCTGATAGTGAGTTAAGCAGTTGGAAGGAGATCTGCCAGCGGCAACGTAATTAAACCAAATATTAAATGCCAAGAGAGTGACAGGATCTCTGGGTTAGCTCCATATTTGCTACAATCCCTCTCTAAGCTGCCACAACAAAGAGAAAGCAGAGTCTTACTTCTCTTGCTGAAAGATGCTGTCTTATTCCATAAGTCAAGTTGCAGAGACATCTGTAGATCCCATGGTTGTGGGAGCATGTACATAACATGTATCATCAAGTAGTCTCTCAGCTCTGAGGATAAAGGCCTGCGGTGACAATTTAAGCTTTAGCCTTTCTGATGTTTCATTTTGTGTAGAGCTTGTGGTTGCTGAGTTTTATACTAACATTTTTAGTTCAATAAGATTTCTGATTGGTTTGTTGTTTGTTTTGTGTTTTTTTTTTTTTTTTTTTAATGGGGCGGGACAAGGCTAAGTTAACTGTTAATTCCTGGCATAAAATAGATCCATCTTTCTTTTTGTGGTATTATGTTACCTGGATCTATTGCTCAACTCATACAAAGATGAGGACAGACATTGGTGGAGGGACTATTGTAGTACTGCTGTATAGCTGTGCAGTATGGTTTAGACTGGACTTCAGAGGTACTGAGCTGATCCTATGAGACTATACTCTAATTTGCCTGAGATAAATGATTTTTTGAAGACTTTCACTGTGTCTGCTTGCAGGAACACCTACTGGGCATCTAGTGCCTCCTAAGCAAATTGATAACATTGACCTGCTTGCAGGAACCACTGTAGTAGGTCTTCCAGTTAGAGGCTGAAGTTCAAAAATACAAAGCTCAGGCAGGTTGGGTGTCAGTTCTTGGTTATGTCTTCTGTCCATTTGTTATTTACACAAAAGTACTTGCATGGAGTGCTTACTGTACTACTGCCATACTGCCAAGATGGAAAGTTTTGAAAACTGATCTAATGCAAGAGAGGTAAAAATAAAAATAATTTAAAAAAAAAAAAAAAAATGCTTTTTAACTCCTGAGATTCATATGCAGGGTAGGCTTTTGTTTAAAAAGGATCTGAATTCAAACATCTGCTCAAGTTACTGACCCTAAGGAGCACAGGACTTTTACAACAATTATACAACCTTTTGATGAACAGTGTAGAAGTCTTTAGGAGTTTTGTTTAAAAATCTCTGGGGAAAAATACACATGTGTGTGATTACACAGATGAAGCAGAAGCTCTTTCCATGCTTGAATGGGAAGACGCAGGGAAGCAAGACCTCCTGCTTCAACTCTGCTGCCAAAGAGAAGAATTATCTTGCCTGTTGGCTGGAACTATCTTCGCCTGAGACATCTCTAGTGTTAAAATATTATTCATGAAATACTCACGTAAGTGTTAATGTGTTCAGCCTCAAAGAACCCCATTTTTTTAATATGGAAATGCGTACCTGAGCTACCTCATGCAAAATGCATCATGTTTACATGATAAGAGTCTGTCTGACCCACAGAGATGTCATGTCTGTGGTAACAATGACAGAAAGTGTGCAAGAACTGAGTTGGAGAGGAATGGGTGGCATGGAATGCCCTAGCAGGGAGGAGGTAATGCATGGGAAAAGGGTGTGTGAAGTCCCTCTGCACTTGAGGGTTTGAACTAATTGCATAGAGGAAGGAAAGGGCTGAGGCATCACCAGTGGCATCTGCCCTTGGTATTAAAAAGCGGAAAGGAGGTCCTAAGAGAAGGAGGCTGCCCAGATAACAGGATAAATAATAGGAAAATCAGCTTTATACCTTTGTGTAAACAGAGGTTAAGAAATAAATGATAGACTCAATTACAAACGTTATCTATATCTGGTTTCCTTGGGTATGTGAATGAGCAAAGTCTCAGCCTGCATTTTTCCCCATGGGACTCTCCCTCATTCAAAGACTAGATGTAGATAGCACGCCAAGTTTTGTTTTTTTAAGATGTGGTTTTCAGTCATTTCCACTGCCCCCAATGCTTTTAAAGCCCATGCTTTCCAGTCCCCTGTTCCTCCTCTCCTTCCACTTCCTCCTCCCTCCTCTTCCTATCAAGGGCAAACACAGATAGGTGTTTGCTGTGCTACTGTGAAGGACCTGAGGAAATGAGTAATGTGCAATCAGACTGAGAGGGCTTCCTACCTTTGTCTTCTCTTTCTTAATGGAGCATGAGCGACCATGGAACAAGTTGGAGATTTTATTATGATGCAGAAATGGTATTTCTTGCTAACCAAACAGCCCAATATGCCCTATCCTTTCCCTCAAGTTCTTGTTTGTTCCTTAACCAAGGTAACCACTCCTAAAATAACAGCTAGCTGATTTCACGGGCTGAGTGCTGATGGGTTTGGAAAAAAACCTGCGAGTTTAAAAAGTAACTTTTTCAAATGAATTAATAAAGTGTCTATTCAGATAGAGGCAAAATGAATTCCTACAATCTTTCAGAAATATTTTTATACTTAATGACCTAAAAGCTGGAACTGGAGGGGGGGGAAAAAAAAACAACAGATTTTTTTCATCAGAAAACATTTTTTTCTTCTTTCAACTTTCTGAGAGAAATTTTAATGTACATTCCATTGGAAAAAAAAAAAAAAAGTCAAGATATCACTTATGATGATCACATTAAATGTTGTAGGCAGATGCCACTGACCTAAGCATCCTTTCTCCTATGGACTACTTCAGAGCATGAAATTTTCAAGACAGAGCTGCAAATGCCTTTTGTGTTTGTTTGGACAAAAATGCTATTTCTGTGCTGCTGAAGATTTTTCGAGCTCCCTGACACTGAGAAACTGAGCCCAGTTTAGCAGGCCTATATCAGACTGAGGTGCATCATTCAATCTCAAGCTCCAGGTATATGGTGACACTTACCTGTGTCCCAGCTGCCTGTCCTTTTGTGTCTTCATTCTCTGCCTGTGTCTGCTGGCAGTGCCTAAGCCTATGGTTTCAAAGAAGTTAAGCAATTACTGTGAGGTGACACACTGTCCCCCGATGCTGTGATGATTACAGGGCATTGTTTCGTGTGCATCATGCCATGAATGCCGCCCTTTCATCTGCCACACGTGCACCTTTCCTATTGGAAATAAGTATGCATTTACATACATATGCATTTACAACAAATACAGGGAAAGCGTAGATGAAATGGAAGAAGAAAAGCTTTTTTTTTTTTTTTAAACTATGAATGTTAAAACCTCTATTTGGCACCTCAGAAGCTGTGTTGTTTTTCCTTGCTATCCCAAAGACCTTTGCAAGTTCTGGACAGTCTCAGAAGACACTAATGATGTTTATTTCTCCTTATCCTAATTATTCCTCTCTGGGGAAGTTCATAGGGCAGTGAAGACTCCGAGGAAGATTTGTTTGTCTTGGAAGTCCAGGCATAGGGCCCAGTAATCCCATGACCTGTTCCCTGCTCTGATACCCTTCCCACTGTACTCAGCTCTGGTTGTTGGTTCATGACCCTTCAGTAAACCTGAAGAAAGTCCAGAGTTGCACCAGTGCTGGGTTGGGTAATTGAATGAGAGTTCTTGAGTCTTACAGAGAGTTCTACCTGCCATTATCAACAGAGGTGCTGCTGCATGTGGCCATGTCAAGCCCGGCGGCCTTGGTTTCCTGGAGTGTAGTAGGTGTCAGCCAGCAGAGCCCAAATCTTGCATGGGGTCATGGCAGCTTTTCTGCACGTGCGATGTGCTCTAAGGTATCAAATGGCTCCTATAATGGAAAATTTGCTACTATAATGACATTCAAGCAGTGGTGGAGTAACCAGTAAGAAATCAAGTCCTAATTAAAAACCAGGAGTTAAAACACTGCCTGTGATAATATACAATTTTCCAAACAATTTTTTATGTATTTAAGTTAGAGACTAACCCATTAGAGGGCATGTCTATGATTTTGGAATAACAAAACAGAGTAAAAAACAGCCAAAAATTAAAGATAATCTAATCTCATGTGGCTGTTAGTCACGAACGCATAAACTGGTAATACTGCCCTCCTTTGGGAGGAATAGCTAGCAAGATGTCTGATTATGAAAAAGCAATTAAGAGAATGTTAGGAAGATTAATTTTTGACATCTTGTTAAAATATCCAGGCTTAAATTTATAAGCGTTCCTCTTTTGTATTTGGGCAAATTGCATTTCTATGAGGCCCTGCCATAAAGTGTATTTATTTTTCTGTTCTTCAGAAGAAGACTGATAGTTAATTGCTGTAAGTATATTTTCTGCTTATGGAAAGTTGTACTTCATTGCACTTGCTGTCCTCTGAGTAAGGCATTTTATGAGAATCAGAGTAGTAAATTCAGGGTGGGATATTTCATGTTCCAGTCCTTCTCAGTTCTCTTGCTGATTTTAAATGCCCACTACAAACCAAAGGCTCAGCCTCTCTTTCCTGTGCTCACACTGATCTGCTTGGTATACCTTGAGTAAATATTCTTCTCTTCATATCCTTTCTTCCTTGTCTTTCACCTTTTTCACTTTTATCTCTGTAATTTGTAAAAAAAAAAAAAAAAAAAAAAAAAAAAAAAGGGGGGGGGGGCTTGTGTTAAGTGATCTTCTGACTTTGTGGATGTTGCTCTGATGGCTATGGCAGGAGCTCTGTGGCTAAGTTCAAGTTTTGGTATGGTTTGGTATGGTTTTTCCTTTACTCTCTACACTGACACTTGTGTGTTTCTCATGGTTCTCTTTCAGTGACTTTAACAGAGCTGCTTTAACAGTAAATCAGGCCTGGGAACGTAACCTTCCTGACCACACGTATATAATGGAATTGTCCTTCTCCTTGATGGAAAGGGGTTAATAGCAGTTGCAATGGCCTGTGTGGTATGTCTGCTCCACTTGCTTCCGCTACCCTGGAGTGCTCTTTATTTGGACAAACACAATACCATAAAAATATTCTTTTATCATTAATTTTCTTCCTTTTGGTTTATCCACCAGAAGTTCATTTTGGGAAAAGTTTATGCTGAAATATGTTGGAGACAAACTGTAACTCTTTTTTTCTGTGTGACAAAAGAGAAAGCTGGGATCCAGTCTGTCACCACCACTAACCTCTGTACTCACTTTTATCTGCTGTGAAAACTGTTATGTCAGACACATCCTCCTTTTCCCTGTTTGTCTGAAAGTCTGTGATCGTGCTACCGAAATCAGCGGAACTGAAGCCTTAGGGCTAGACTGAAGCTTTGCAGTCATACGAATCTTTGGTTTCCCTTTACTGCTACCTTCCTGCTCAGCAGGAAGAAGATGACTCTGTTTTACATCACAGAGGGGATTCCTCCACTTTTCGTGCTGGCTCCTTCCTCTCATCCATTGTACTCACCTGGGCACCACACCGCAGCACAGTTTCACTCCCTTGTGTCTGAGAGGCTGAAGCAGATACTTTGTGCAGTAGCTTATGGTAACTGTACTCTCAGTTTTTATTCACTGTTGTAGAAGGATGTCCACAAGTTAATGTGAATTGAGGATCTTCAGTCCTGGATCTAGACTCAATGGATCAAACTCAGAGCCAGCATATTGATCAGGTGAGCAGATTTCCTTCTTAGACATGCTTTGGTTTATCCAAGTAGAAGTACTTTGCTGCAGTTGGAAAGGAGGCCTGTGAACTGTAGAAAATAAGCATATAGCAGCAGATCAAAGGAAGTAAGATTCTCCCTGGTGAAACTCGTAGGAAAATCACTGAGTTCCTGTTCTGTGTGTGGGAAGGTTTTCTTCACATTCAAGGGGTAAATTACACTCTTTATGATGGAATTCATCTGATACCCACTTAACAGTAAGTGAATTGGGACGTGATTCATTTTTCTTTCGTGAGTCTTAAGGAAGCCTGTTACTGATTAGCTCATGCTGTACTCCACTTCAAGTGTCTGCAATGGTCTGTATGCTGTAGGAAGGACACAAGCTCTCTTGAGGAGTGCTTAATTATATCCTGTGTGGCAGATATAGATATTTTTTTTTTTAATTAGTATTATTCATTGTTTTTTTAAGGAGAAAGAAGATAAGTAAAGGTGAGCACATTTTGAAGCCCTGTATTTGTCAGAGATGGATCTGAATGGGAGCAGGGAATACCCTGGACAGAACTGTACTCAGTTTTCCCTTCTAAAAAAACAAAAAAAAAAGTCTATTCTGCTAGCAACCAGTTTGAGACAGCTGAACGAAAGCATTTCTTGCAGTGAAGGCAGCTCATGGATAGGATAGTGGTTGGGACCTATGGCATCCAGCAAGTCACCAAAGTAAAAGATGTGCAGTTCACTTGGATTCCTGTGGCCAGGCCCAAGCAGGGATAGTGATAGTGATGGTACAGTAGGCAATTTTTCTTCCTTGTGTAGGGATTCTCTGAATCAGGAAAGGTAGAAGTTAACAGGGACATGGATAAGAAGAATCTTGCTCTTTTTCTGTTTTGCATATGAATTTTTAGTTGGCGTGGTCTTTCACTAACACCAGAGTAATTGAAGAACATATACTTTGAGAAAATATTTCAAACTCAATCCATACTGTAAAAAGGATTGGTCACCACTGTCTGTGTTCGGTGTTCTACTGTGTCAAAAATTCAAATATAAATGTTACTCCAACATATAGTACTAAAAACTGATCTGAGTAAACTTTCTAGCCCAGAAACTTAACAGTTTTTTGGGCTTTTCTCTTTGGACATGCAGTCCTGCAAGAGAAGAAGGCACAAAAGAGTGAGCAACTGAGGATGTAATTTAAGGAACGTGGGTTCTGTTTTGTTCTTAATCAATGAAAGCCACTTTTGGTGGTGGCACGTCATCCTGTCTTCCAAAGAACTGCAAAAAAGCACCCACTCTTCCCCAAAAGATCAGGCCCTGTCCATGCATAGCTCCCATGCCCCACATTAAGATAAGTGTCATGACTTTTTTGAGCAGTATGAGAACACAACGCCAGACTCAAGAAACACCCAACATATCTTTCCCACCCACAGTCCCATCCAAAAAAAAAAAAAAAAAGAGAGAGAAAGAGGAAATTAATTTTGAGGGTTGCTGAGTGTAGTGGGGATTGCTCCTGTGCTTGGGTGGGAGTTGCACCCATTGAATTTAGGAAGACAAATGAGGACTGCTTGGCTGGCAGCGGGCACAAGGCTGGGAGAGATGGGGATCCAGCTGGACGCAGCTGGTGCTCAATCCCTGCCGCTTCCTGCCACCTAGTGGTTAATCTTCTGCCGGTCTTCTACCCAGCGGTTTGTGGCATTAGAAAAGATGGTCGGAAGACGGGCAGGATGTGTGTGCTCCCGGCGGGGGGGAAATGGACGAAGCACTACAAGCACTCTGCCCTCTCCTAGCCAAGCGACCCCAGCACTCCTGCCCTTGTTAGTGAGAATTTACCCTCGCGTAACTATCCGGTGACAACTATTGGACTAGGATGGTGAACTTGGGTGCTATTGAGTATTATAGGAGAAAATCTGGCTCACAATTACAGGTGAGCAGGTTAGCCTAACACTTTGGTCTCCTATTTACCCATTCACTGGAACTGAATAAGTTGTTCTTTGTCTACACTTGCGG